ATGCCTTGGAAGTGGTATGGGCATACCCTCTGTCGGCTGGTGCAGTCATATCACACTCCCAGCCAGATACGTGACCCCAGGGGCTGCTGTTTCTCCATAGGCAACATGGAGGTGTTGTGGTTCTCCCTCCCTGTGACAAGTACAGGAACATTACCTGGCTTTGGGATAAATTCTGGAACACTTACAGTCTTGTGAATGATTATAATAATGTAGAGTGACCTACAACCTTATTAACTGGTCTCTTAGTTGCAGCTTTTGGTCCCTGTTACAAGAATGCCTTGTAAAATGTATGTTCTGTTGTGTTTTGTTATATTTGTCACGCAGATGGCACCCCTTTCTAGAATCTGATCCAGGTTAGATTGGAATATTTCTACCCATCTCAGCTTTCCAAAGACCAGACCCATGCGCCCTGACTTATGCTACTCTTCCTTGTGCTGTTTAGCAATCACTGAGGTGGCTACTGGGGTAATGATTGCCAGCTGAGCTACCTTCTGCACCTTTGTTTGGCCATGATCAGTATTCCAGGCCTCTTACCCTCTGCAGTGTTTAAAAAGAGTTGCTCAATCCTCATTAACTACAAGCTAATGTGCATTCCATTGCATAGGTACATTTTCTGATCACAAGCTGACCAATTGATCATGCCTCAGGCATACCAGTACCCACCTTGTTCTCACATCCTACATTTTGTTATATCGTTCATTGAATTTGGTTTTTTTTTGTTACATTCCTGGTTATCTTGTTTGTTACCAAATCCAACAAGCGCAGAGTTACCAGTTCTTGGCCACTTCATTCGTGTAGGCAGCTTCAGGTCATTTTTTACAACTATTGTTATATTCCAGGGTGACCTGTAAGGCCTGGTATGGATTGTTTCAGATATTGTCCAAGTTTTAAGGAATGTCAGGTGTTGACCCTTTCTAATATCCTAACTAGGCCTAAGCCTCTGGCTTGGCCAGTAGATGCTCATGACCAGCATGTGACATAAGCCTGTGTTTCCTACCTCAGAAGCTGGTAAGTGCTAGAAACGTTTCCCTTTCTGCTACATTACTGTGACCACAAACCCATGTAAAAGCCCTTTGACAGCATCTAGCTCATTCTCCTATTCCTGCAGCATAAAAAGAACGTAAAGCAGCCTTCCAAAAATTCATGAACCTAAAATACGCTTGACCACCTTTTAACACAAGGATGGAAGAGCTATTGCTATTTTGTTTACTTCTCAAAATAACAGATTTGTCCATTTTGCAGCTGACTTTGAATTCAGGTTAGGGCTGAAGTTAGCTTACAGGGACTTAGCTAACAGAGACCTAACAGTTCAGTAACCAAGTCACCTCGCTTCATAGATTCTAGATTCAACACCTTCTATGTAGTGAGGTGACTCGGTTACTGAAGTGTTAAGTCCCTGTTAGCTAAGTTTCTCTTTGCCCTGTGCTTGCATGTCTCTCCTCATCTTCTGCTGGCATCTGTGCCCTTCCTTGCCATGTTTCCTTTCTTTCTCTTTCTCTAGTTTTTTTCCATGTACAGTTATGACTTCTGTGGCTGAATGTTCCTTTCTGCTCTTTGGACTGTATTAGAAGAACTTGGTGTGAAAACCAAATGAGTTGTTTTTGGCCTCTGGAGGTCCTTCCTCTTCCTCTTTCACCATAATTCCCTACTTCATTGAGGTCCTCTCCTCACTGCTTGTGAATCATCTGTTGCAGTCAGTTGTGCCTGGTTGCTGATGAGAAGCTCAAGTTATCTTCTGTTCCTATTTCAAGCTGTCTGAAAGAATGGACTTTTCGGCTAGGTACAGTAATGCTAATCTTTCAGCTTTCCATTTGTGCTGATGTTGAAATTTTATGTCTTCAAAGGAACAAAGAGATCCCCCACCTCTTTTTTCCCCCCCTCCCCCCAAATGTCCATAGTGTCATCATTTCAGTTTGTTTAACCAATGGCTGTTTATTTTAGGTAATTGCAGAAGGAAAATGGGTAAAGCTTGAAGAGACAACGTATGTTGACCGCTTGGGTAAAACCAGGTAAGTTTCTCTCCGTGACACTTTCAGATGCCTGCACTTCCAAGCTTTTCTGTATGAACCAACCAAAGACTGGTTGGCACTTCTAAGGCACTTAGAAACCCATTTCTTAACAGCCTGGGCCAAGTTCTTCCATCATGGAACTCTTTAGAAATTAGATGTTGCCGATGAAAAACTAGAACTATGGGAGGGGTCAAGCTTTGGAACAGTCTATGTAGAGCAGTCCTGGGATCTCCATGCCTAGGGTTTTCAAGAGCAGGTTAGACAGATACTTGGCTGGGGTGGTTTATTAAGGGACAGCCTTCCTTTGAGCAGAGAGCTGAATGAGGTCACTCTCAGTTTCTTTCCTCTGTTCCTGTTTTCCTGCCTTTTGATGTATATCGTAGCCTATAGGGTAAAGTGTGGCTTCTAAATTCTTTCAGTGCTGTTCTTGTGCTTCTCTTGCTGTTGCAGCCATTTGCAAAAATCCCCTGCGGAACTGAGGCTGCAAAGTTTAAGGATGCAAATGGATTACTTATAAGAGGTACCTTTTGGCTTCCCTGTTCATTCATGAAAGGCTCCTCTTCTGTTGATGGCAACGTGCAGGATCTTGCATACTGTTAGCATGTTCCTGCTTGGCAGAGGGGTGCCCTTGCCTTCTCTACACCTCCCATGGATTCTTAGGCCTGTCCTGTTCTCTTTCTGTGTCAGATAAAGCTCTCCACTTTGAGTCCAGTTATGCTCACTGGAAATGCCAGTGCTATTGTATCTTCCTTCTTCCTAGTACATTGGCAACCTTACTGATTGCTTTGAGTCTCCCTCTGTACCAACAAAGCTGTGTTGATTAAGAGTAGCCTTTAGAAATGTTAGCAACTGAGGCCTTTATGGAAGGTTTATGTTTTTGCATTTGTCCTGTCCCTTGCTTTTCAGTTACAAGAGGCCTTAGCCATTTTTGGATTCAAGCCGCTAACTGACATGAGCAACTGACCTAAAAGGTCCTCACCATGACTAGTTTTGTTGTCATATAACCATTGTAATGCATGAGTCAGAAAGAAAGCATGCTTGTATTCATTGTTTTTCCCCAGAAGAATTAATCGACCTGTACAATTGGCACTCTTTTAACATATTGATTGCACTTTGTTAGAGTCACCATTTTAAATGCACTGGTCTGCTGCTTGACTACACTCCTGTGTCTGCTTCCCCATCTGTTAAATGGTCATAATGACCATAATGGTCACCTTCCCTTAAAAAAAAAAAAAAAAAAATAAAGTCTTGGGATCTAGGTCTGAAAAAGCAGTACAGAAGAACTGTTGGTGATTGTCTGAAGGAACTGGTAAAAATCTGTTGTCTGGCAAGCCTGTGCCTCCCTAACCAAAAGCAGAACAGTTGTGCTGGAAACCTTGCAGATGCTTTAAAGTAGTGGGAGCCAACCTTTTTTGACAGGTGTGTCACAAATTAGCCCTGCACTCTTT